AGCCGGAAGAAGAGTCCGACGATGATATGGATTTCAGTCTGTTCGACGATTAAGTTTTTTTGTTGTCTGGTTGAGACCATCGGATTTGGTTTACAGTTTTAGTTTAGCTGCAAATGTAGTTTTTCTTTCCTGTGGAGACGTTTGTTTTACTAGTTATTAACCGGATGCTGTTTTATTTTACTTGATAGATCTTTTCGTTGTTCTTTGGGCAAATACAATATATTAGCCATAACTATTAAGCAGCGGGGAATTATAGCCACAACTATCGAAATACAAATTATTAGCCAATCGTTAAGTTTTCGTTAACACTTCTGTTAGTAATGATGACTAAGCTTTTACGATGGTGAGCTGGCTCCCACGTGGCAGTCATCATATCATATTTTTACGATGCTGACATGGCCTTCTACGTTAAAAATTTGAAAACAGTAACTGGCTGTTAGCCAAATCTTGACCCACAATAATAGTTATAATAATTTGTATTTCGATAATTGTGGCTATAATTCCCCGCTGCTTAATAGTTATGGATAATATATTGTATTTACCCTTGTTGTTTTGATGCATGGTCAAAGCGATGCGTTGTGCCGTAGTCTCAACTGCCAGTGCCAAGTGCCAACTACAAATCTTGGTTTAAGGCGTTGACACATTCATTTTTTTTTTATATAGAAATCCCTGGGTATTTTATTAATGAATCAATCGTTGGGTTACAACAATCTACTCTCAATTGGGAGGTTAGTATAACCGGTGGTCTTTCCTCCCAAATCTCATCGACATCCCAATCAATATAAGTCAAAATCGCGCTTTAAAACTTAAAAGCTTACGATTTTCCGTTTTTAGGACACCAAAATGCTTCTGTTTCCATATATAATATGTAGTGTATAAAATCGTACTAAATTGCGTTTTAAAATTTAAAAGCTTACAGTTTTACGCTTCTAATTCACCAAAACGCTTTTACGCTTCTAGTTTACTAAATGGATTTTTCAATGAAATCCACCAATAATATATAGTACACTTTTGTGTACTTTTCTCTATTTCAAATTTATTGCTCTCTTCTTAATTTTAGGTAGGGGTGTAGTGGTAATTAAGAAAGTTAATAATTAAAAAAATATTAATATTAAAAATATGTTTAAATGTGGGGAAGTTACTCACCAAACTTTCAATTTTTGGGTAGCATTATTTATTTACTATAATATCAATTAATCTTTATTTTTTAGTATTCTTAATCTTTCATCATCTTTTCATAGTGTGAACACATTTTACTCTATATTTTTACTTTTTCTTTAATTCTTCGGTTATAATTATCGGTTTGTATTTCATTTATACTAATTCCGAATTCAAATATTTTTGTGTGATAAAATCTTATTTTTTGTTATGTACACAATATATTAATTTTTTTTTGGTAAAACACAATATATTAATTTTGATATGTTTTAAAATAAAATATTTTATTCTCCTGAACATGTGGTAATCAAACCCCAAGGGTTGACCTAATGATAATGTGGGGATGAGATTATACCAGCATAGTATTAGTTGTGAACAATCATAGTATAAATTTATATAATGAAGGCATTTGCATAACATCAATTCACATGATAGTTTTAGGTGCCTAAAGTAACAATTGATGTCGTAACGAGTTTTATTTTAAAGTATACAAAAGTTTATTTCAGTGTGTGATTACAACTACGTCGAATTTATTGAATTACATGGATTGGAATTAATCAACTAGGTTAGTGTTCAGATTTCAGAGCCACAAACTTTGAGATAGAGATATTGAAGAAGTTTGTGTAGCTAGATGTCAAGGTATAAACTCGCATGCTTAATTACTATTGATTTGTTTTGAAGGTCACTTTATGCAAGGAAGATTTTTTTGGTTTTAGGTTTATTAAGATGTAAGTAAATGTATGGTTGACAAAATTAGCTTTATTAATTACTTGAAAGGATATTAATCCCACTTTAGTTCCTAGGAAATCACCACAATCATACATTTATTAAGTTGAATCTAAAAATTATGTTAATTATTGCATATTCGCATATTTTGGGCTATGATGTTGTACGGTGAATTTTAGTGTTAAGAATTAGGGAATTAATAGTTTAGACTGTATATTTTCAGTGTATTGACTTGAGGATATATGGTTAATCGTATAGGCTGAAAGAGAATATGTAAAAGCTCAAAGAGACATGTTTACTTGGATTCAAATTTGAGGTTTAGATTTATGATGAAAATAAGATAAATATATTTTTTAAAATATTTATCATAATTATTTTTGAACCATTTTCTATTTAGAGTTTTCAAAATTTTGGGCTTTGAGCTTAATATATTATATGTAGGCAATCGGTGGTTAATGACTACATAACCTAAAAACTAATGTGTTCTTTCGAAAAGATTGAGTTGAGAGTTAAGGATTAGGGTGTGCCTACGGTGACATGCATGTCACGGTGACTTGCACTTTCCGGTCGATCTCAGTTAGGATTAGGTCGACCTCATTTAGAATTCAGTCGACCTATATAGGATCTGGTCGACCTCATTTAGGATTAGGTCGACCTCATATAGGATCAGGTCGACCTAATCTGTTGTTTCAGTGTAAAAACAGTTCATGGTGCCTACTTTGAATATTCATATCATACAATTGGCTAGATGGAAATTGAAGACTAATGACTTGTTTGAAGCTGGAGTGTCCCTCTACATATTGAAGTGATTGAGAGCTCGATAGGATGTCCAGAAGACCATTTTTCAACCTCATCAAAAGGCTATGCAAAAACTGGGAACTGCCTGGAAATGGCTAAGTCTGGAAACGTGTTTGTGAAGCCTATTTTGGAGCTCAATTCGAGAAGTATGAATGTGAGTCGAGTCCAGGAGCCTCTACCACGTTAAATTAGGTATGTTTTCATACAAATTCAAGGCATTGGATGAAAGATTGGATATATGTAAGGCTTCAAACAAAAGGGTCGAAGTTGCTACGAAGGCTGTTTTTCTGGCAGACTTCGAGCACAAGCAAGCGGCCAGAAAAACAGCCTTCGTAGCAACTTCGAGCCTTTTGTTTGAAGCCTTAAAGATATTCAATCTTTCATTCAATTCCTTGCCTTTATATAAAAAAATACGTAATTTAACGTGGTAGAGGCCCTAGACTTGACTCGCATCCATGCTTCTCAAATTGAGCTCCAAAGTAGGCTTGACAAACACGTTGCCAGACTTGGCCATTTTCAGGCAGTTTCCCAGTTTTGGCATAGCCATTTGGTCAGGTTCAAAAATGGTATCCTGGACTTTCTATTGAGCTCCCAAGTACTTTAATGTGTAGAGAGACACTTCAGCTTCAAAACAAGCCTTTAATCTCCAATTTCCATCTAGCCAATTGTAAGATATGAATCTCCAAAGTAGGCACCATGAAACTGTTTTTACACTGAAACAACAGATTAGGTCGACCTGATCCTATATGAGGTCGACCGAAAAGTGCATGTCACCGTAGCAAAGTCCTAAGGATTAATGGTGGAATATTTCATTTGTTTGAGGGTTTTGTTTATGATGTGATTGTATGATTGAATTGTTTGATAAGACTATTTATTTTTATTGTCAAATACTAATTTAACTTTCATAATCTAAGTTAACTTCGAAAATGATTACTGAAATTAAAATTTATATACTATAGTAAAAATATATGAGAACCATTTTATTATTGCATTTACCAACCGTAAGTGCAATTTACGAAAAATTATATTTATAAAAGTTCCGACCAACTGGCCGGATCAAAAGCTAGCTATTTATAAAAAGTAAATTTTAACGGTAAATCACCAACAATATGATATATTTGAAATTAAAAGATACAAACCAGGTACTTGGATGCATTCTCATCTTCAATAGAGTAATCTAATTCACCAACTAGGCCCTTCCCAAATTCATTAGCATAGAGGGGAAGGTGGTTTATTGTTAAGATCTATGTTTATGAACTTATTGTTAAGATGCTATGAATTGCTCTACTTAGACATGAATTGCATGTATTATTAACTTATCTAAATTATGTGCACTCATATTTTACACAGTATATGTCGTACTTAACAAAAAAATTTAGCTATTTTACAGTATGCGTAAAAACCTTCCGTTTTGATTCTACGCTTTACGATTTATCTCTTTCCGCTTCTAGGTAGAATCACGCTTTTGACTGTATTGATCCCAATTACAAAGAATATGAGCCATAGTGTGGGCCGCCTTATTATCAAAAACCCATTTTACCCGGCCCAGACTTTGAGCATCAGCCCACATTCCTTTTCTCCCTTTCCCGCCCAATCCCTCGCTAGAGCGCCGACGTCATCACCCGCCACCGCTGCATTTATTAACACACACTAAAAGACAAGCTTGACAGAATCTCGTTCCCTCATAACAAACTCTTTACCGGATCCTCCAGACAGTGGACGAGTTGATTGGTAAAAGCGTGAGAAGTATCAAGATGGCCACGGAGGTCTGGAAAAACCTAAAGCAAAGGTATGGTCAAGGTGACTTAGTTCGAATCATAGTGTTGCAAGAATAATTATGCACTCTGAAGCAAGGAGCTAAAACATTGTTTGATTATCATACAGAATTAGTCATAGTATGGGAAGAACGTAAGAATTACCAGCCCATACCTAACTGTGCTTGTGCTCCCAATAGTCATCGTGATTGCGTAGCTATCAACACAGTTAAGTTCTACCATGATACGAATTTGATTGTTCATTTCCTTCGTGGATTAATGAGAACTATGCTATTTCTCGATCTCAAGTCCTCTTTAATGATCATCTGCCTACAATGGATCAAGTCTTCCATAAAATGGTTCAGTATGAAAGACAATGTTATGGTAGTCAACTAGATAAGGGTTGTGTTGTTGAATCTATAGCTCTAGCACTGTAGTCCATGGGTATACGTTTCCAATC